TGATGAGTCGGACCTGAATTAATTTCTCATGGGAAAGAGTCAAAAGGAAAATCACATCATAAATTATGTTGTTAAAGTATTTTCAAATTAGACTTGACTGCTGTTTTAACTTCCTATGCTTAAAGCCAGCCCTGCTTTTGTACACATTTACAAGATTGTGGACATTTAATCTCTGAGAAAGGATCATTAGAAATATTTCTATTGAAAATGAGGTCAAGGCAAAGAGCACCACTTACACTGGCAGTTATTATTTCATTAAACTCAGGAGAGGCCTTTCTATGTGCGCTTGGACACATCCTGTGAGGTTGCTACATTCTCACAAGATATAGAGACTTGAATGTGAGAAGCTGAAAACCTCACAGACAGTGCAATAAATCAGGTTAGGAACATGAATAGGGCCCCGTTGCCAACAGTCTTTGTGGGAGCGCAAGTGTTAACGAGGGGGCGTGTCCAGGTCGGGCTGTACTTGGCCGTTGGAGGCTGGAGTGGGACGGAACACTTTCATAAATGGTGATGGCATCTGAACTAATCTGTGACAACTGTGGCAGTTAAAATCACAGCCAGCGTGGGTAATGTCCGCAATCTTTGCCTCATTATCAGGCAGCAAAGCAGTGTGGGGAAAAAGGAAGAAAATAAAACAATATATATGAATACAAAAAACAGCTCTGGAGCCCTACAAGGTAAGTAAGCACCAGTAGAGGTGCCAGGATTATAGAATTGTGGATGGGCTGTCACACAACTGGCTGGGTTTGTGTTCTGTGTGCACATGCGCCCCTGTCACGTACGCGCACTTCTGTAGGAACGTGAATGCACACTCACGTCAACTATAGTTTTCTCTGCCTTCCTCCCATTACGCAACAGACTGGTGTCTTTCATGTGTGCTCCCCATCCCACATCAGACCCGTTGATCTCTCTCCCCCTGGTCGCACACTGGTCCTGTCTGTCCCATGTCTCTCACCTGAGGTACGAGTTTTCACTGCTGCTACTGCTGGCTGGTCGCATTCCCGTCTCACAGGTGTTTACTGCATTTGGTCCCAAACAGGTCCATGAATTATGGAATATGTTTATTGTCATATAAATGTTACTGATTTTACCACTTTGAGCACAGACATGGATTAAACCATTAACACGTGGAGAGGGTGAATGCATGATCTGAGCTTGTAGGAGGTGCTGCGCCATGAGCATGATAGGGTAAGAAAACACACTTTAAGATAGTGCTGTAAACATCCTCATGTGAATGAGCAGGTTTTGTATTGCTCATGATCAAACCAAACTGTAGAGCAGTGTTAAGCCAAAACAGGGGGCAGGCATGGGACTGTGCTCTAGTAAGGCAGGAGGGCATCCGGATGCCGCACCAACATCCTGCACAGAACATGTACATGTGAATGTTATGCATTTATCATATATTTAATTTTTTTTTTTTTAAAAGGCTTGTATGCCTTGAATATTTTACAAATAATGTTTTTCAGTTAACTAGTTTGATATTTATTTTTTATGATTCTTTCTGCTTTATGAATCTGGAGAAGGCATTCGACCGTCTCCCTCGTGGTGTCCTGTGGGGGGGTGCTCTGGGAGTATGGGGTCCGGGGCCCTTTGCTAAGGGTCCCTGACATCTCAGGGTCCCCCCGGAGGAGCTGGAGGACGTGTCTAGGGTGAAGGAAGTCTGGGAGTCCCTGCTTAGACTGCTGCCCCCGCGACCTGGCCCCGGATAAGTGGAAGAAAATGGATGGATGGATTCTTTCAATTCACTGGATGTGCCACACCACGCCCTCAGTCTTCTTCACTCCACCTGATATTCATTCACAGCACACATTTTGTTTAGAGCTCCATGCCCCACGCTTACGCTCGCGCTAGATACAACCCATGTTGTTTCCTCATCACAAACATACCTTGTATTGAGTTGTGTTTGGTTTCATTCACACATGTTTAACACACAAACCCTGTAAATTTAGGCTGAGTTCTTCTCTCCAACAGAAACTATCTTATGCTGTGTGTTGTGTCATGTGGCAATATAGAAAGTGTTCCACTGTGTTTTTAAACTCACCACCACATACAGTACATCTTCACTAGAATCATTTGGATGATTTCAGATCTGTAATTGCCAGTCTCTACTCAACAAAAAGTAAAAGGTTGGAGATGTAGGTACAAACTAATAATAAAAGATTGCTCAAACCTGTGTAAATGAAACAAAACAACTTGGTACTAGGTACGTTTTTGAGAAGTTAAGAGCATTATAACATGGCTTAAAGCCCACAAGAATCCATTTTGTGTAATACAGGACCATTAACAATGATGAACAGGGTTTAGAATGCTTTTTGTACAGACTTCGTTCTTCGGCTTCTACTGTAGCCACAAATGCACTGTTGCTGACTGACAATTATGCGAGCCACTTTGCCCCAACAGCCTCAACCAACAGCAAACCCTCCTTCATAAGCATGCTAGTAATGTTTTTCTTTTTTTCTCATTTGATTCCACCACACATAAATACTGAGCAAATGGTGCATAGAAACTTCATGTTTAAGTTAAATTGGGTTTCCATGTGGTTTCTTTTCATTCTCTGATAAAGCCACAACAGGATTATGAGTCTTCCAGAAACATAAATTCTGTCTTAACTGATGCTTTAGATGCGCATAAATAAACAGGGGTCAGTCAGAGCAGACACGCACAAAGAAATGTGCCTCCCGATGCTTGACTCCTCGCAGAGAAAACCAGTGATCGAAATGCTGTGCACGGTGCCATGTTTGATCACACAAACTTGTTTTATCTACGCTGTTTATCTTCTGCCACAAACATGAATTTTAACATCTCAAATAATCCACTGCTCTCCTCTTGCACATATATACAGCCGCTTAATTTTTATTTCAAATGAGCCACTTCAAAGACATGGAGGCAATAAACCTTGGACTTGTCCATATTTTACTAACAAGGACAAAACTCAAGAGCATCAAGCAAAGGAACATAGCAATATAATAGTGCTCTTCAAAGTGCAAAAGAATCAATTCGCTGGTGGCATACAAGACAGGCTCATCAACACTGCAAATGGAAACTTCTGGTGAAGTTAACCTAGTACTGTTAAAATGCTGGTGAATACTGGTGAAGTTAAAATACTGTATTGATAAACTATAGTATTTTAAAGGCACTCTAATTTGTACTTTTATAGCAAAAATGTATATATAATTTACAGTAAATTAATTAATCTACACTGAAACATGAATGTATGCTTTATTTTTAAAATTAATAGAAGTATTTTCTTTTACTAACTAACTGGTATTTATTAATTGTAACTACACCAGTTGGCTGATATATGGGGCTGATATTTGTACTTTTAGCGTATCGGCCTCAAATGTCCAGCAAATGCCGATATAGTATTTTGGCTGACCCATGAAAAATACCCATGAAGCTTTATTTGAACACTTCAGAGGCCAGAAATAATTGCTGAAAACATGACTATCCTGCTGTCTTATGGGTTTATAGTGAAAAAGGGGCTGTGAATGAGTTTTTTGTCAATTTAAATTACATAATTTGGTGGAAAAATCTAAATTGGCCTTCTAAAAATTTGGCATCAGCCATGAAAACAAAAACACATCAGTCAATCTCTACTAACTAAATAACTTACTTAAGATTTACATACAATTTAGGACCTTGCAGTAGCCAGCTTTATTTCATATAGGCTAAATATATGACCAACACTTTTTGATTATGTGCTCTCTTGATGCTTAAATCTCCTTTAATTATGCAGTGAATGGTGTTGGACCATTTTAGAGCTTTGCTTCTCTTTATCTGTCTGAGCATCTGTGTGTGCTGCTCGGAGCAGAGACACCACACACACAGACAAGGACAGAGGGATGCAGATACCATACAAGCCAAGTAATCAAAGCAGGACTGACTTATAAAAGAAGAGAAGTTTCATCAGACTCCTCAGCACCACTAAAAGCACAGATAGAGCTGGAGCTTATTGATCCAGTGGGATGTTAAAACTTGGCACCAGTTATGATGCCAGGGTTCTGTGCCCATCTCTACTGCTGGACCAGATATTTTTACCAAGACGTTTTGGGCCCTTGTTCTTTTTCTAAGCTAACTTCTGTTTGTCCACCTTCTGATAAAAGGGAAATCAACCATTCTAAGAAGAAACTGGACCAGTCTGTACTCTAACCCACAAATAAAAATAACCCCAAAATTCACAAAAAATATATTGAACTTCTATTTAATGGCGCCTGGACTTGGTTGCCTAATTACAAGTCCCTACATTTAATTTTAGTGAGATATATTTTAACATGGGAATTGTCAAGACCCCAAAAATGCTCAATCTGCTGTCTACCAGGTAATCCTTAGGGACACCAGCTATACCTTTTCTTATATTTACCTAAAATAATTCAGGCAGAATTTGAAATCTGACTTTCTCCTGTGTAGAGCTTGTTCCCCCCTTATATCAGACATACAGATCAGACAGAAGAGGCCAAAACTACAGGCCTCAGCTCCACAAAGAGTCCTGCCATTTGTCTTTGCTCCAAATGATTCAGAAACAGTTTCAGTTTGAATTGAGAGTCATTTTAGTCAGACGTTTTAGGAAAAATAGGCCAGAATGGTAAAACTCAGGGAGACCTGTCTTTCAGCTGTGGTTCCACAATTATGGAATGCTGTCCTTTTCTTTCCGTATGGCTGACTCTGTGGATTCTATTAAAAAGCATATGAAAACACTCCTGTTTAGAAAAGCTTGGTTGACTGTGTCCTATGACCCATTTTACTTTTTGTTGTTTTATGATGTAAATGCTTTCTGTAAAGCACTTTGTGATTTTTATCTCTGAAAAGTACTATATAAATAAAGTTTACTGACTTACTTACTAACAGTATATTATTGCTGTATGCATGTGCCACAAAATGTTCATCCATGTAGCATTTGAGAGGAACTACTGAATAAATGAAGTGTAAGGTTAGCTTCAGGCAGTTGTAGGGTTGAAGCATGATGCCATATGAGCGTGTGTAGTTTGTGAAGTACAAACCATGTGTCTGGTCCTCCATGTGTCCCAGGGTTTCGATCTGCTCCACCAGGTCATTGGAGTTCCACTGACTCATGCCCAGCAGGATGGCGTTCTTCCCCTCCATAACATCTGCTGGCACACAAACACCCAAGTGAGCCATAACTGAATCATTTCAATGTTTCATGTGACAATTTCTCATATTTTTGCTGAGCCTATGACAATGGAGTAGTACATCTTTCAATTAATGCTTGAATTGAATCTTAAAGGTGCACTGCACAGCTTTTCTGGTGGAGATTGTCTACAAGGAGATCTTATTACTTTGCCTGGAGTGTTCCATGATATGACTTTAAACAGATACATCTAGCGTTTAGTAATTATGGGTGCTTCTATTTAAAAAAAAAATATATATATATATATATATATGTATATATATATATATTACGCAGTGCACCTTTAAGCAATTTGACTTCAATTACATATGTTATTTGTATGCAAAGAATTAAAGATGCTAATGGATCTTATACTGTTTTTGTCCTCTCTGTTTTTTGACATTAGGGGAGAGCAATAGACTATGTGAAGAAGACATCAAAAATATTGATAGGTGCCCGGTTGCCCAAAGTATCCTGTGCTACATATAGGCAACAATATACTCCACAAAATTTATGTTCTAAAATGTATAAATGCTGTGATCTGCCCTTGCCTACAACTACAACCACAGCACCGATAAGCTGATAAGGGCAGACTTGTTGAAAGCTGCTCTGGTGGGAGCCCTGTGGAGATTCTTGTCAACACATCACACACTATGAGGTGGTCATGTTGATGGTCATTGCATGATTTTGTTTATTTAGAATTTTACTAGAATTTAGTTTTTTCTTATTGCTCATTCATGAAAACATGTGGTCCCACATTAAGCCATTTTCTGATCTATGCTATAATGTTGTTTCTTCATCAAGAGTTTTTCTCTCAAACAGAAAACACTGTTACACTTTGTCCTCCCCCATGTTTTTAAAAGACATACACCTTCACTAGAATCAACTTGAAGATTTCAGCCCTGGAATTGACTATGTCTGTTAAACAAAAGGTAAAAGGTTGCTGTTAACTTGAAACCTACACTGTAAGCAATTGCTGTAAATTTATGGCCAATTTCCAACAGTAATATACTGTATTACTGTAATACAGTTTTATACTGTAATTTGCAATGCATTGTGGGCTGCTGAACGTGAAGCAACAGCACACATGCCTTTAACAGTATGTTAATGTAATAAATCAGAGTAAATCACAGTAAACTACAGTATTTTTGAAATCTGGTGTGCGCTAAACTTGTGAGGGAAAATTTTACTGCCAGTGCATCGGAGACATGCGTTGCAAGACGACCTGCTTCCTCTGCATCGGATTGTGCATCTACAAATAAAATGGTAAGTAAAAACTGTCTTTGCCAAGAGAATACAAGTAAAATCATGTTTGAAATCGAACTGTTGCTCAACAAGTTATCTAATGAGTGAGTGTGTTATTGTAATTTATTTTTTGCATTTGATTTTGCTATGGTCAATTTAATATACTGCTCTTCCTTCGAACGAGTGACAAAAGCAGCTCAGTTAATGCTACACAGTCACGTTAGCGTAACCAGGAGGGAAAGAGGTGCATGAATTAAAGCTAGAACATATTTACATCTAGCAGAGAGTATTAAGGGGTTATAACGAGTAAACTACAGTTGGTGGATGAGGAAATAGTGAAATGACAGAGAACAGAGATGCTGTGGTGAGTTTATTTTACTTTCTGTCGAGTCTGAATGAAATTTGTTAAACACTGAATTGAGGCAAGTTAGCTAACGTTAATCCTTGTTTGGTAAAACAACTTTTACATGAGCCGAAATTATTTTTGTAACAATTAGACTGTTGAAAATGGGTTTGCTTTCTTGAAATTTTTAATTTAATTTCTAAATTGTCTGTCTGTTGCAATATGTTATTTGGTCTCCTGCGTGCCACAGACACACACAGACAGGAATAAATTGGCTGATGAAAAGTGGTCTCATGGAAAAAAAATAAAATAAAATAATTCCAGTGGCAGAGCGTGCATTTCACACCTAGGCCTTCAGTAGTGCTCCGTCTGAAACAATCCTCAATAACTATTTTATGGTTACCTAGCTTACGAAGGATGTAATGTTATTGTACGTCCCTTATTTTTGATTATTGTGTTTGTTGCTGTTTAGAGTGGCAACGCTGGAATAAAGCCAGGAAGAGGAACAAAAACTAGCCTGGTGACACTCATTTCTCCATGACTGAGATGATTGCTCTTTGAATCACTGTCCACACCTACTCATACGAATGCACTTACTTTTAAGAGGTAAAACACAAGCCTTATGGGACTCTTTGGTGGTAAAGCACAAGCCTAACTCACAGAACTTGTTTAAAAGCTACACAAACTTCACCATACTATTTTAAAAGTTTAAAACATGAGTCTATGTCACAGAACTCCTTTAAGAAGTAAAAGTACCCCAGAGACCTATTTTAAGAGTTAAAACTATGGAGTAAGAAAGCTTTTAGAAATATTTGTGTGCATAGAATCTGTGCATATTTGGGAAATCCGTGCATATTTGTCTGTGGTTGAGCATAAAATAAATATTCGTAAAATCTCGAATGCGTCCAGTCGTACATAAAATATATTGTGTGTATTTTATCCATCAGAATATGAACTGAAAAGTTACAACATCAAGAATTACAATCACAAAATGAAAATTTACAATTACGCTTTCTTCAGTACGAATATGAATTCACAGACCCGACTCAACTGTCAAAAATACAACATCACTTCACAAGCAGAAGAAACATCAATCGAGATGCATGGTTACATGGTTTAAACATGTTTTAGTCCTGGTTCAGTCCTGGTTCAGTCCTGGTTTAGTCCTGGTGTAGTCCTGGTGTAGTCCTGGTTTAGTCCTGGTTTAGACCTGGTTCAGTCCGTATGCGGCCCAAAAGTCCGGCATCTCGATTGATGTTTCTTCTGCTTGTGAAATGATGTTGTATTTTTGACAGTCGAGTTGTGTCTGTGAATTTGTATTCGTACTGAAGAAAGTGTAATCGTAAATTTTCATTTCGTGATTGTAAGTCTTGATGTTGTAACTTTTCAATTTGTATTCTGATGGATAAAATGCACACAATACATTCTATGTATGACTGGACTCATTTGAGACTTTACAAATATTTATTTTATGCTCAACTACAGACAAATATGCACGGATTTCTATCCTATGCACAAGAATATTTCTAAACCAGGACTGATCCCAGGACTGAACCAGGAGGACTAGATAGTTTTTTTCCCCAAAATGTTGCCATTGACTGAAATTCTTACTGAGGTATAGTTCTATAGACAGCAGATAATACATTCCAGTAAATCTATATGCTGTAGATATAATTGCTTTTTGATAGAACATATACATGTACCTCACAGGACTAGGAAAAAACAGCTTACCTACAGTTTCTTCCCAAATGTTGTAATTGATGCCTATTTTCGACAAGTTCTTACTGATGTGTATTTTCACAATTGTCTTAATATACATTTTCAAAATCTTGGAAAAGTGTGTTTTACAAATGTTGTTATTGATACATACTTTTAGATGTTCTTAGTGATGCATATTTGCAAACAGCAGAGAATACACTGGAGTAAATTTATACTTAAACTGCCTTTTGAGAGCATATAAGCATTCTTTAATTCTTTTTAGGTTAAACACTCATTTCCTTTGTATTAGTCGCCTCAGTGTTTGGCCCAATTGGTTGATCCAAGGTAAAGTTCAGTATGGTATTTGTTAAAAAATAGTATGGAAACAGTTACAACTTTTTTTGTGCTTTCATGTTTGGTAAGGTCTCTGACATGCAATCTGAGAATTTTTTGTTAATTGCCATTGCATCCTGCAGACACTATTTGGCTATTTTTATTTTGCTACTCAGAATCTCTTTGGCTTGTCATGTAACATTTTTTTGTTTATTGTTATTATTATTATTATTATTATTATTATTATTATTATTGTATTTTACAGTAACAGTATTCATATTGACAATGCCATACACATACATAACCATACACTTCTCAATAAGCTGCACTATGCCTAAACAAACTGGAGTAACTACTTCAGTCGGTCATTCTGTTTGTACATTGACACCAGTATAGCCACAAGGCAACCATACCAAAAAGCTATTGCAAAAAATACCTAACCAGATCTCTTAGAATTAGATTATCAAAGCAATTATTTAGGTACTCAGTCTGTGATACATAACTTAGTGTTGTATTTAAGAAGCAAGAAAGGCCTTGTGAAATTTGGCACATTAGTTGTCACGCCGCTGACCCTCATCGTCCTCGGAGACAGACTGACTCACGCCGGAAGGAGCTCACTGCATCCAAGAATCTTCTGTCTTTTCTCTCTCACAGTCGCTGCCTTCATGACCAAACCAGAGCTCACACGCGCTCTCCATCTGGATCACAGAAGGGTCGCTTCAGTGGTCAGCCTGAGTCTGTCACCAACTTTCCCTCATCGCAATCGTGACAAAAAGTAAATGAAGCCCACAATATCGATATTGCAAGTCTAAACAAACCAAGATAAACCAGAAGTAAATGAAGGCTAAAGACTGAATTTAAGTATTCCATTTTAAATATAAAAAATTAAAATTAAAAAAGCAATTGAGTGATATGCATCCCCTATGCATTTTTAAAAACATTTTATTGGATGAGAACCATAAAGTAGCATCCAAGTGTGTCCATTTAGGAACATTGTTGGATGAGAACTAAGCAACTACCTGGGACCAATCTAGTTGTTTCTTTATCATTGTGCAAAATTAGACTGTAATAAGGTTAATATGAACCATTCTGTAATTCTAGCAGAGCAGTCATTACCTGCAGCACAACAGATAACCCTTCTTCAGAACATGTTTTTAGATTGGGATGTTATACATGTTTTTAGATGTTTAGATGTTTTTAAAGAATATTTAGTTTTCCAATATAGCTAGGGCTGGGAAATATGAGTGTAGTGAAGTATGAACTCACAGAACAAGTAGATAACTGTACTCATCACGTAAAGGCAATAAGATACTAACTGTACATGAATGATCATAAAGTTGAATTGACTTATGACTAGAAAA